GGAGAAACCAAGAGAAAATCACTAGGAAGCTCCATTGAGAGTAGTCCGATATTTTAAATCAAACCCAAGTCAAGGTATTTCACTTGCCAAAACATCAGATTTGCAAATCCATGGCTGGTGTGATTCAGATTTGTCGGCGTGTCCTCTCACCAGGAGATCTTTAACCGGCTATTTTGTACAGCTCGACGACTAGTCAATCCCTTGGTCATCGAAAAAAAAGAAAACAGTTAGTCTCTCATCAGCAGAAGCTGACTATAGGGCAATGATGTTTTTGACGAAAGAACTATTTTGGGTCAAGAAGGTGCTGTGTGATCTAGGTGTAACTCATGATCAGCCAATGCGTGTGTACTCTGATAACAAGTCTGCTATTGCTATGTCTGAAAATCCAGTCCAACATGAGCGTACAAAGCATGTGGAAAATGACAGTCATTTTGTTAGAGAGTCAGTTGTTGCAAGTAAAATTTCTACAACATATGTTCGTTCTCAAGATCAGTTGGCGGACATTTTTACGAAAGCGTTGAGACGTAAGGAATTTCAAGTTTTTCTTCGCAAGTTAGGCATTCATGATGTTCATGCTCTAACTTGAGGGAGGGTGTTGCAGATATTACTCTGTCTTATCAATTTGTCATTATGTCGTATCTTTTGTAATCTCCTTCTTTTGGAAACTAGCTCTTTATTCCTTCGTATATAAGTTAATGTAATTGTTTCAGTTGAAATACAATATTGCGTCCTTCACTTGCTTGTCAAATATTTTTAAAATGATGATATAGAGCAATCCATGAACTATACTCTATGTAATAATAAAACTAATTTTGATAACAGTTCAACATATGATCATGCGATCATGAACAGCATATAGGACTTGGAACTTGGATCTAAAGAATATGCACTAGAGGAGCAAGAGGAACTCGAAGATGGTGAAGCATTGGTTATGCCAATTGGTCCAATGACTCGATCTAAGTCTAAGAAATTCAAGAAAGTACTCGGAGCTATGCTTAGAATCAGTTGGAGACGATCTAACGTCTTGAGCCAGGAGGGAGAAGATGTTATACAAACCTCATTGGTTTCTATACAGGCTCAAGATGATTGACAAAGGGGCATGTGACCCATTTGTACTCTTTTTCCCTCTCATTTGGTTTTGTCCCAAAGGATTTTCCAAAAGAAGGTTTTTAATGAGGCAAATCGATCACATCATATCACCCATTTTTTGATCCACTAAGGCCCAACAAAGAGAAGTCGCGGCCAAATGGAGAAGAAGGAATTCTTTCTTTGTTCAAATTTTGTCTTTATTGCTTTGATATTTTTCCGAGACAAGTCTTGGCTGTCACAAGCTTGTTCTCTTTCTTTTAAAACCTTTGTATGTTCCATTGTTGAACTATCTATCTTTTCAATCAAAATCTATTTCAAATTAGATCATTTGTTCCTAGAACATCTTAGCTAGTTAGTGTATTATATATCTCAAGTAACCCTCATTCTTTGGTGTGTTATATCCTCAAAATCACCCTTGGTATATCAAAGGCCTTCCACAGCCTTTGTGCGACCCTTCACTCCATCAATCATCCTTGAATCCATTTTGTTTCATCACAAGTCGTACCTGATCCAACACTTAGAGTGACAAAAGGAGAATCAGATCATATCATATTTCAAACATTAATATTTTTAGTTATGGAAAAAGAGCAAGTTAGATAATATTGTATATTACACACACTATATAATAGCCATAATTCAATAAAGTCATTAAGTTAAATATGGTTTTTTATAATTATAGATGGTAATTTTTCAAAATAATTTTTTTAAGAAAAGAATGATCTTTTCTTTGGATTACTAAGAGTTATGGCCGAAAACCGTAATCCTTAACCACAACATATAATATTAGTTCCATCTCAAATGTCACTCGAGCATATAATATCTAGACTTTGCTTAAGGTACTATTCTAGTCGAGCTAACAACACTTGATAAAAAAAATGTTGATGAAAAAAGAAAGTTTGGTGCTATGATTTTTGCATTAGAAAATGATTATGTCTTGTTCGATGGTCTCCCCTCCTCTTGCTACTCTTTTTTTTTGCTAAATGATAAATATTCATTAAAAATGAAAAGTTTAGGTGTTATTAACAAAATGTTCAACCTAAAAGATTGGTTCAATGGCAAAAAAAAACATGAAAGCAAAACCAATCGTATTATGTCGACACTAAAGCATTGAAGCAATAAGGTATCAAACAGTAGTGATAGGAAGTTTGAAAACCCTACGAAAAGTGAAACCGAGAAAAGATCAAAAAGAGAATAGCAAGAAGAAGGACCAAAGAAACATCAACTAAGCAGAACGGAAGCTGTCCAAAAGAAAGTTATTCATCTAAGGATTCAGAGGAGACCCGCACAAAGACAATCCTCAACGCCTAAGAATCGACACTCAACCAGAATCGACACTCAACCAGCATACCTAGATCCAGCAATAAAGCGGGACTACAGTAAGTTGCAAATCTTAGAAGCGCTACTGAATCTATCAAGATCCTTCTGATGTCGGATAATACACAGTCAAGCGACAACAAGCTCAGATAGCCTTACTACCTCCTTTGAAAGCAAACTGAACATGATACAGTACCAAACTAAAAGCAGCCTCAATCAAATAAAACAGGCAGAACACTAACTCCACCCAAGAAAACAAGCATATAAGCACATCAGCGACGAGTCAAGGAGCCACCGGAGACACAAAAACCTGATGATAACCGATCAAACGACACACTGAAATAGAGCTCTGAACATCGGCTCGACACAGAAAGCCTAACCCACTGCCATCAGTCGTTTTGAACTTTTGATATTGAAAGCTTGTTTCCCACTCCATTAGGTGCTCATCTCGACTTTTGGTGCCCATTCCTTAGTAAACCTCCAATTTCCGTAATATTTTTCATATTATAACTTATGAAATGAGCTTCTTCAAGGTGACTGATCCATTAAGTGACATTCAACAGCTTCTCTTTTGGCTTTTATTGGTCTAGTGTTGACTGACGAGGCCCAACACCAACATTGTGAACTCGATTTCATGTTTCTTCTGATAAAAATAACTCTTAAATGTTTTATTATATCAAGATTTTTGTGCGACTATTCGAGTTTGATATGTGACTATTTAAGTTTTTTTTTGTGTATGAAATGACTATTTAACTGTAACTTGTGTCTAGGATAAGATAAAATATGACATTCTCCTACTCAATTGTTAAAACCACCCAAGTTTCTTTGAGAATTAAAATTTAAATTCATAAAAAAGAATCTAAAATATTGTTTACAATCAAAGAAGTTATAATGTTTTCTAACTGTGGAGCAATAACAATATTAATATTTTTTTATTTTCAACAATTACAAGTCAACACGGTAACTTATTGTATACAAGTCAACGCTGGAGCTAGTAATATGTAGGCCTAGTAATATGACAGGTGAGATCAATGGGTTAGGTTGAGATCATTGGTTGCGAGAGAAAACAGTTCTGTGTATTATGTCTACTTTTTTTTGCTTATCAATTTCAGCTGGTTGTCTGGGGCAGTTGCAAATTAAAAAAAAATTGATATTGCTAAATTTTTTATACGGTTTCCACATTGCTGAATGTTGTTAGAGGTTCTTCTAAATGACACGATAATTATATAAGAAAATAGAAAAAAAAATCAATAACGTTGAAGTTAAAATTTGGGACAGAACAGAGTTAAGAACATTCTTTTTCAAATCCTGCAAATACTCATTGATATTCTCATCATAAAATATCTTTGTGGTTGGTAGAACTATTTCCTACTATTATTACAGTTATTAAGTATATCCAAAATGAAGGCAGTGAAGTTTTACAACAATCCCAAACTTGTGTTCTTCTAAAGTACTTTCACACTCTTGATTGTGTGTTTTACTTGTATCTAATATTATATATATTGGGGCTAACTGAGAATTTATCTGCAACATAAAGATCAAGATATTTCGAATACCATGTCAGTGATAAAATTTACTAAATGAGAACTACAAAAATTTGGAGATGATGGATGTGATTTTCTTATGACTAAAATTTCTTTCTTTTGCAAGAAACATAATGCTGAAATGCTTATCATGGAAGCATATTTTGTTGATCCCAGGAAGCCAAGAAGGAGAACCGACATAACCAATATGCATCATTACAAGGTCAATTGTTTTTATACTGTTTTGTATTTGTCAATACAGGAGTTCAATGATCGTTTTACTAATGTAAACACTGATAGATATTAAAAAAAATCTTGTAATTAATTTAATTGATATGATTAGAGATTAGATGTGTCAATCAAGGATAAATCATGTCAATCTTGCTATGTCAATCAAGAGTAAATCTCATCAATCTCGATTCATTATTGTGTATATATTCTTGTAAGAGATGTGAATACAGTCAACGAAAATTATTCAGATTTTATGGTATCAGAGCTCTTCTTAAAGTTGAGTTTCGGATAAACGATATGGAACAACTAAATTACTTCCTTGGGATCAAAGACAGATTTTAAACCTGCAAGCATTTTTCTAAGTTAAACCATGCTCAAGATATAATTGCTCGTGCAGGCGTGAAAGAATGCAAACCATGCTCCAACCTGTAGACTTAAAGGCCAAGCTTTTGAAAATGCAGGTGATCTTATTGTCAACCCGACATAATATAATTTTTTTGGAGGAGTGCTTCAGTATCTCATATTTACGAGGCCCAATATCTCCAATGCTATCAACCAAATCTGCTTATATACTATGCTATTTTTAGAAAATAGAAAATCATGTGCAATTTATAAAAATATCAATTTTTTTTTTCAAACAAAAATGTCATCTATTAAAAACTAAACTATGGATATTACTTCAAAATCATTGGGAGTGATGGTCGTCGTAAACCGGAATACTCATTTGGCCTGCCCTGACAGTAATTATTTTGACTCCACCTCCAAAGACCGCACTCATTATCTCTCTTGTGGTCGATTCTAACGATATAAAATACTGTTCCTGTACACTCTTCTCGTGCTTTGCTTCAGTTACTTCTTCTTTCTAAATCTTTTAAAATTCTCCATTAAGTTCTTACTTCAAAAAAAAAATTCTTTCTATCATTCTCTACATATAAACAAAATGGGAAACTGTCAGGCAGCGGACACAGCAGGAATCATGATACAACACACAAATGGAAAAGAAAAGAAGTTAAGCTATCCAGTTTCTGCTAGTTATGTGATGAAGATGAATCCTGGCCATTATGTTTCTCTTCTCATCTCGACGACTGCTCTCCCGGCCGCCTCTTCCGGTCATGGAGGACCTCTTAGGGTCACGAGGATCAAGCTCCTTCGTCCCACGGAGACGCTTGTTCTGGGCCACGTCTATAGACTCATTACGACAAAAGGTATACTTCAAACTCTATATTATTATAACTTTATGTCCTAATTGGAATAGAACTATGCTCAAGTCTTTTATCAAAAAAAAAAAAAAAACTAGGCTTTAAGTCTTTTTTTTTTTGTTGTCTAAATACGTTACTCTGTTGAATGAGTTATAAATTTTTCAATGTACAGTCTCTCTCTCATAACCTCTCAAACTGTGATTGTATAAGCCATCTCTACTTTTTATATCAAAAATTATATTTATGATTAGATTTTTTTTAATATAACAATTAGATTTATATGAGAATTAAGTGATTTTGGAATCTGTGTAAGTGAGTGTCCGATTATATTCTCTCTCATGCGTACGTTTCTTACTTTGGTTTTTGGATGGGGTCTAATCAACAAATTTTGAAACTTCTGGGGTGAAATTCAGAGGTTATGAAAGGTTTAATGGCTAAGAAATGTTCCAAGTTGAAGAGAGAAGGAAAGGTGTTGGAAGATAATCTAGAGATGATGAAAGCAATAAGCTCTACTAAGCTTGACAATGAAGATCAGGTAACGAATATGTGGTTATAAAGATTAACTATATTTTTATCTCACGTCTGCACGAGAATTTTTCATTTTTTTATGTCTAATATAATTTTTGTTTATAGAAATTTCTTTTGTTATTTATTTTTTAATTCAAGAATTTGATTATCGTGTAAAAACTTTGAATAGTATAGATTTTTGTAATAGTAGAATAAAAATATGAATTATTAAATATATATTGATCTATAATGTTAATTATAAACTTTGTTATTATGTAAATTTTGATTTACACAGATGATAAACAATACAATAAGATATTTGTTTACCATTTGTACTATTGTAAAAATATTATTTAAATTCAAAATTTTAAATTAAATATAACCTGTATTTAAGGAATTTTAAAGTAACTAAAATTATTATCTAATTTTTGTAATAAAATTTATTTATGATTTTTTTGAATTTTAAATTAAATTAAATCTAAATATTCGTAATTAAATTTAATTAATAAAAATTTCATGTAATTTAAAATTTAAATTAAATATAATCTATATTTAAGGAAATCTAATAATATCTAAATTAGTAACCAATTTTCGAAATTAATTTTAATATAAAATAAAATATTATAAAAAAGGTTTAGGTGTGTTTGGAAACAGACACTAAAAGTGCTTCTGTTTTAATAGAATAGATATCTAATAATTATGGTTTGGCGAATGATTATTGAGAATTAGATTTTAACTGAGATAAAAAACGTCTATAACTGCAGACGAAGAAGCAAGAGAAAGAGAGGCCACAAAGAACCTCAAGATCATGGCAGCCATCTCTAAAAAGCATATCGGAAGGAGGTTCAAGTTGAGTAAATTCTAAAACCTTGGTGGGGAATTTAAGAACATTTGAAATATGAGGGTCTAGTTTGGAAAATAGGAAAGGCAAGTGACAAAAGCTGGTCTCTTGTAAGGTGTGATATTAAAGAGAAAAAAATGTTGAAAGTAATCATTCATATTGACTGACTGAAGAGTCGGAGTTCTCCGAATAATTTATACAGAATCCGTCTGACAAAGCCTTGCAAGCTTTAGCCGAAAGCATCGAGCGTGCCATAAGCTGAGCATTTCTACTAGATTATTGATAAGTTTTTATAACCTGTTATGCATTTTCTATTAAAAACATTGAAGCAAACATTGCCACGTGTTCGGCTCAAGACCATAAAGTAACGCCTTCGATTTCAGATTTTAACCACACAACAGAACCAAAGAGAAAAAACGCAGAAAACAAATAATCAGATTTCATTAAAGAGCAAAAATTTAAATCAACGAAGAAACCCTTTTGCTTTCGAAAATTGAAAGAAAAAAGACACAAAAATGGCAACGAGAGGAGTTGCTGCTGCTGCGTGCGTAGTATTGAAGCACCGAAGAAGAAACCTTTCTCATCGTTCACTATCATCGCACCATTTCAATCCCAACTTCAATCCACAAATCATCCCAAAAGGTACAAATTTCTCAGAAATCTCTCTTGTCAGATCGATGTTTATACATGATTTGCTTTGTAGGGTTTAGATTTCAAATTAGGGCAATACAAGGAGCAGGTACTGATCCTGTTACACAATTAAAGAACAACGAGGAGCCAAAACCAAAACCTCAGAATTGGAAAATCAAAATGCTGTTTGATGGAGATTGTCCTCTCTGCATGCGTGAGGTCTTGTAATAAATAAACATAATTTCTATTTCGAATTGTTCATCACGAAATATGACAGACATTTTTGAAACTGAATTGTTCTGTTTTATTTTTTATTTTATTTTATTGCCAAAAGGTTAATATGCTTAGGGAAAGGAATGAGAAACATGGAACTATAAAGTTCGTCGACATAAGCTCCAATGATTATTCTCCAGAAGATAATCAAGGGCTTGATTATAAAACAGTAAATTGTCTATTTTTCCAACCTGCTTTAATTTGTATCATCCTCTGTTTTTCACATATTGTGGTTCGGATTTGATCGAGGATACTTTTTAGGTAATGGGACAAATCCATGCAATTCAATCTGATGGAAATGTGGTAACCGGTGTGGAGGTAAAAGCTTAATTTGCATCATTGTTTAGGCTTAATCCATTTCATATTATCTTGAGGTTTTTCTCGGTGGACCATTTTCAGGCATTTAGGAGATTGTATGAAGAGGTTGGACTTGGATGGGTTTACACTCTCACCAAATTTGAACCAGTAAGCCTCTCTCTTGCAAGATCGGATCCACGAGAAGCTTTCGCTTTCTATTGTCTCGACTTCTTCGTTCACTTATAATACATTATTACTTGCAGATAGGGAAGGTAGCTGATGCTGTGTATGATTTCTGGGCTAAATATCGACTTCAAGTCACAGGTATATGAAATGACTTGAATATGTTTAAAATTATGTCGAGATTGTGTTGGTCACATGTGCGTTAAAACTCTATATCTTTCTTGATTAGGCCGGCCATCGATAGAAGCTATTCTTGAAGCAAGAAAGAAAAATAAGGTATGGAGAAAGAAAAACTCACAAGGGTGAAACATTTCACGTTTACTCTGAAAAACCGATCAACAGTATAATTTGTGTTGACAGGTGGAGACATGTGGTGATAGCAAGGCGTGCAAGTTGTGAAATTAGTTCACATGATACTCTTGAATTTTCAAAATACTAAAACCAATACATATTATTCTTTCAGCTTTATGTGAATGAGCGTTTGTATGCATATAATACAACTATACAAGCCCGTTACATATTTTACCCTGATCATCCTTCTGGTATGCATGAACATTCGAAGTCGACATAGTTCGGAAACTATATGTTTATAGTTGAAAATAGTGGACTAAACATTTCAGCAAATTGAAACTGTAGAGTTTTCTTGTTGGCACTGTTGTGTAAAGGTTAGCGGATTTTTACTAATGTTATTAAATAGGTTTTTTTTTTCTCGTCTATTCATTATTATTATGAAGACCCCAAAACAGGCAAGTTACAGCGAATCGAGGCCCAAACCCTTGTACATTAAAATCCAAATCAACACCATTTAAGTCCAATACTAAAAAGATAAGAGTCAATAAGCTTCGAACACTTGTAAAACACGTGGCAGATTTGGGGTAAACGTCAATGAGAAAATGCCGCTGATTCATCAGAGCTTTGCTGGAAACCGATAATCCAAAGAGTGTAACCATATAGGTTTAAGAGTTATTGCATTAGGTTTAAGAGTTATTGCATAGATTGCCCATAGAAAGTTACATAATTAAGTTCACAAAAATTGAACTGTTCCGTATCTCTTTCTCTTCGTGGAAAGTCCAATACATCCTTATCCAAAAATTAGTACGCATAAAATAATGGATCCTATTAGAGGTTGCATGTTCGCAACATAACCGACAGCAAAATCTAGTGTACGGGATATAGAACATATCGAAATAATAATTTAATAAATTTTGGGGGGGTGGAAATTGAAAAGAACTAGGGTTTGTGGATTCTACTAAAAAATTCTGTTCAGTTTTCAGAGTGAATAGAAACTGAAAGTCTCCACCAGCCTTTTATCGCCGACAGACATTTGAAGGAGAAGTTCCCAATTTTGTCGATAAATCGAAGGAATAAGGAGTCGACATCGTTGATCAAGGACATAATCAGAAGTAAAGGTAACCCCCGATTACTGTTAACCGAGATAACCCTGTTATCAGTGTCACTTATTTAGGATTTTGTACATCGTTCTCCTCTCAGATGGAAGAAGACGATTTACCGAGGAGGATTATAACGGCCGGCGATGAACCTTGGGGTCAGAGAGTCATTACATACCAAAAATTCAGCATTATTCAGGATCTTATTTCGGCGCTGGACGAAGACGAGATTGATTTCATTCGTCAATCTCCCCTGGGCAAATTACTGGAGATACCCTCAATGCCGGCGTGGTAAGGAACATTTGGGTTGTTCCTGTTGTCCCGTCAGTTAGAAGTGAAGCGGAAGAACGAGATATGGATTCTCTTCGCCGGTCACCCCATTAGGTTCTCTTTGCGAGAGTTCAAGATTGTTACTGGTCTAAACTGTGGGAGGTTTCCGGTGGATCTGTCCAAGAAGAGGAAGTCTGCTAACTATCCTATGTATGATAGACTATTTGATAAGAAAGAAGATGTCACCGTGGAGAGAGTAATTGCTATTCTGAAAGCTAAAAGAAGCCTGAGTAAAGAGAATCGATTGAGGATGGCATGTCTTGTCCTGGTCGATGGAATCCTCGTTCCAACTGTTCATTACCCTCGTGTACGAGTTGTCAAAGAACATGCGGAAATGACTGAGGATCTAAAGACCTTTATGGAATATCCATGGGGCAGGTTATCTTTTGATATGATGATAACCTCGATACAGGGTTTAGATTTGCGGAAACTTGCAAAAGCAAATGTCGCTGTACAAGGGTTGTTCGCTGCTCTTCAATTAGTGGTTTTGGAAGCTGTCCCAGCAATCGGCGATTGCCTGAATCCCGTAGGTGGAGGAGAGGTGGACTCAGACGATAATTTCATCCCACATCAGCGTCATCATCTTCAATTGAAACTAAGTCATGCGCGTGAGGTCGATGAGGCCTGTGAGGTAAAAGCATTTATGTACCACCATTCAATAGTTGCAAAGTTTAATTCTGTATTTCTCCCTAGATGACTTACATCATAGCTAACATTGATAACTATTAGGAGGATGCCTAGATATAGGTAACTGTGTTGCAATGAAAAGAAGGAATGTAATAGTAACTTAGAGATAGCTTGATTAAAACGTCAACAATGTTATCGATACTTAGATTATAGTGCTAACAGGTGGGACAGAATAAGCAGAAAAATGGTTAACTACAAATGAGATAATTAGGACTTTGAATTGAAATACTGTAATATTACAAAAATCTGCCGATAAATACGTTATCATGCGAACTTAGTCATCCAGTATAATAAGTACCAATAGAACGTTATAGCCATATTCACTCCATTTCTTCTTGCTACCTTACAGGATCTAGTTACATGCATTATTCGGCCGGAGGTTGAATTTGATCCAGATGAGGAAGACCTTAGTTGGGCGGACGACCCAGCTGATCCAAAGGTCGACAAGATCTTGAAACTGATAGCTGAAGGTTTCAAGTTCACGAGTGAAATGTTCACTGGTGGTAAAAATCATCCGAAATCGCTGTCAAAGTCAAAAAAAGGAGAGGCGTTGGTGGGAGGTCCGTTGTTGGCAAGAACTTCAAAGGGAAGGAGAAATGTTCGGTGGCATCTACTTCCACGACCGAGGAAGACAGATTGTCACGACTTCTCGATGAAAAATTAGCAGAGCATGACATCATTCAGAGAGAGTTTTTCAGTGCCACACTCAAGGAAAATAACAAAGCTTTGCTTGCAGCCTTGCAGGACTGGTTTCTTGATAATACTGTTGTAGAGGAACGTTATGAGTCCCAGACGGTGTCCGCCGACTCTGACTCAGCCGGTGAAATTTAAGGCAATAGGGCAAGGCAGAAAGGTCCCGTTAATGGTGCCAACAAAGATGGAGAGACACAAACTGAAAATCCTGCAAATGTAGGCTGTCATTCCCAAGCAGCGGCGCTGAATGGGGTCCATGGGGACAATGTTAATCGTGATAATACTGTGAACGCGGAAACACTGATTCCTCGGAATCCAACTTCACCTTTGGCTAGGGACGACAACTCCACTGCTGATGACGGGAATCCAGACGACACCAACGCCTTTGGAATCGAGGTATATCAATTTTTTATCTTATGAATTATCGGTAACTTAATTGACGGTGGAAAGGAGAGATGGTGGGTAGCTGTCATTGAAAATGATTTTTTTGTTTCAGGTCAATGTTCATGAGCACGAGGATGGTGATGCTGCGCACACTGATAACCAGGACGATGATAGAAGGACTGACGATCCATCACAACCGATGGACGTGGCAGGAAACACCACCCGGGTCCACGAAGTGAGCAAGGAGCAGTCAGTGGAAGAGATTGCTGCATATTATTCAGAGGTTTCATTAATGTTTAGTTAACCTTATCAGCGCTAACTTTCTGATCCACGAGACTTTATTATCATGAATAATTAGCTGTCAAGGTCAATGTAATGTAGGTAGCCTAACTGACGGTGATTAGGAAAGATCTTGTGCAGCTGTTATTGAAGTCCAAAATTTTTGTTTCAGGTCAATGTTCATGAGAACGAGGATGGTGATGGTGCAAACACTGGTATCCAGGATGGAGATAGAAGTACTGATGATCTTGCACAACCGATGGTCGTGGCAGGAAACACCACCCGGGTACAAGAAGTGAGTAAGGAGCAGTCGGTGGAAGAGATTGCCGCATATTATTCAGAGGTATCATAAATTTTAGATAACTTATTCAGCGCTAACTTAGTTATACATGGTACTTTATTATCTTGAAAATATAGTTCTCATGAAAAATGCTATATGTAGGATAATGTTTGCAAAGGGGGAGACAAAACTCAGACACCATGCGTCGAAGAGGGTAAAAAAGAGGTACAATCTGTAAGTTACATGTTATATGTTTTAACTTTACTTAAATTTTTGGTTACGTTTACAGATTTTCCGATTTAACATGTAATAATGTTACCAATTTTTGTTTTGTTCATATAGGAAATCAATGCTGCAAATATTAACAGTAGTGTCATCGACGGGTCCAATGTCCTAACTCCTCCCGAGGGTGTCAGCCATACTGACAATGATACGATTATCTCGGAGGGAACAGAAACCAGCTCAGCCTTAGTTGTTTATCAGGTTAACATTATTGTTTTGTACCTATGAATATGTAGGTCAGCGTTGCTAATGATTTTGCAATTTAATATAGGGGATTGGAGAGACGGAGAATATAAAGGAAGCCGAGGCGGACACTGATGAGACAACAGCTGATAAGAAGGTGTGATAATGTTTGGAAGAATAAATTTCAAATTAGATAACAAAGGTATCTGTCATTTTTTCATATTTTTCATGCTGGTACAGGGTCTAAGTCAAGTTGGAGCTTGTTTCAGCGTTTTGGGGGAATCAATACCTGATTACACTAGAAAAAGCAAGCGCCCCGTGTTGTTTCCTCAAGGATAGACGAGCGTTTCCAATGTGACAAGAGATTGAAGACACTCATAGGTCATGAAACCGAAGCCGGCGTCGCCAAGGCCAGAAAACTGGACGAGAAAGTTCGATTGGCGATTGGGACAGTAAAAAGGTTTGTCCCTGAACTACTTAAGTGGACACCAATTTATATGAGTTGGCTAATTCTGGTTCCTCTGACAGATCACTGAACCTGGGAAATCTGATGATGTTGTCAGCGAAAGACTTCATCGATCTATTAGAAAGAAAGAAAAACATCCCTGCCAAGGTATTCAGTGCATTAGAAAGAAAAAAAAACATCCCTCACATGAGATGAATAAAACGTATTAAGGGTAACTGTTATTGACGGATCTGGGTTATTGTCAGGTGATGGATGGGCTCATACGGTTTTCGCGCCACATGCTACGAGTCGACATGGAGGATGGTGTAGGGTTGAGAGTTGAACTTCTAGACACAAAATTTGTTTCTCAGTTAACCAAGTTATACCCCAGGTTCATCAAATCCCCTGCTAGAGAAGAATTCCCTTTCACCAAAACGGTGATAGATATGGTTAATGGCGTAGATGACGTCGACCGTGTGCAATTGTATGAGGAGGCTGACATCGTCTACTTACCTTTCAACTTCGACCAGCGGTACTAGGTGACACTAGCTGTAGACCTGAAAGCCAAAAAATCTTTGTTTTGGACTGCAACATGGCCCTCATCAACGAAACCAGGCTTGTGGACGAGCTGCAACCCATAGCCACTATGCTCCCTTATTTATTCAGATTGGTGGCTGCTAATATGGAGATGAGTCAAGTTGAGATATCACCGTTTTCTATCGAAAGGGTCACTGGTATCCACCAAATCGATTCCCCACATGATTCTGGTATGTATTCTATTTTCCTTCTTCAAACTCATGCAGTCGGCGGAATAGACGGGTGTAGACAGTTCGAAGTTCAACTACTGGAAATCGAGACAAAGAAAATGATTTCTGCATTGATCAAGCATTATGCTGTCTAGATACCTCCGGATTCTGCAACAAATATTATCATGTAACTCCATCTCCATATGACGTGTGTACTCTCCCTCCTATCATTTGGTTCTGTAGAACCTAAACTGATATGCTTCTCGCTCCCCTTTTCGTTCTTTACTTGTTAAGACTACTTATTTGTCACTGTTTATTTGTACTTTCGCCTCTCAAGCATGGTTTTTGGAACTATTTATTTCAACATTCGCATCGCGAGCACGTACAACCACCCATCGGCTAACTAGCTGACATGCTGAATTGAAATCTTAATGACAAGATAACTTTATTACCTGTAATTTTTGTGGCATCGAATGTATACATTCATTACCACAAGCTATCTGTTATACTTATCACGTTCACCTAAATGTAAGTTAACATAGTTAACTCGTTCTCAACATTAATAGTTAACCATCACTTTTTAAGCATACAGTTAGCTCGTTCTCAGACTTACCAGGATTCGTTGTTCGCTTACATCACTTCTTAAGCAATGTGCTGACTATCTTTACCCGCATTCAGTATGCCGTCAATCAGCTAATTCTTGCAATTCAACATACCTGACTTGTTATCAGCATTTTACGATTGTCCTACAATGTTGTTAACTTAAGACTACATAGAACATGTATCCACATTAGATCAAAATTTGGGCAGTTATCATTATCACTTATTGCAATTTACGCTCGACAGAACACCAAATGTGCCAATGACCATAAATTATCTAAACAATATTGCTCGCCGACATAAGTTATCAAGATATCTAATATACATGATAATAATGTTAACACACCTCTGATCTTAGCGATAATATTGTTAGCATTAACTCTGTTCGATATAAGAAAGAGAAATTTACTTTTACTAAACCATAACAGCATTGCATATATCACAAGGAAAGTGGGCCACAACCAAAAGATGCAAACGGATATTACAATGATTAGAAGCTGCCACATGCAACGTAGAAAAGAACTAAGTTTGCAATATGACCCCATGGCTGTTGTATATTAGCTAAGGGGGTCATCTCAAACTCAATTCAGAAAGTTTTATAACTTAGCGATCATATTACACAGCAAAAGGTGATCACTAATACCAACTTTACTTAACACCCAACCATGTCCGTATTTTACATCTTCTAGCCTGTTGAAGTTGTTGCCGCTATATACAACCAAACTGCATGTTATCCCCCATCTTAGTTTTAAGTTTCTTGTAAGCACAAAATTACCGCTTTAATTGTACACACCAAATTTTTATCCGTTGGGCAACCAAACAGGATATGTATAGAACTATACGTCACATGCGTACCGGTATGGGGCCCTTGCAAGTGGATTTGTTATGGCCACGGACACGGCATCTTGTGCAACGACGCCTCGCCACTCTCTGCAGTTAACCATGTTATCACAACATACACTTAAAAAAAAAGGATTCCACATCTGCATCTATTTATTTACTTACCTTGAATTCACCCTTAGAGAATATACGTGTCTTTTTAGGTCTTCCAGGGGGACGACGGACATTGGGAGGGCCGAGCCTCACCTTGCCAGACTCATTAGTAGTACGTTCCAGGGTGTCCATGTCGGGCACTGGCATTATCATTGCTTCATACGCGAGTCTGCGATATTGAACGGTGTAATGGACGTTTACCAGAGTCTCTACTCGAACCCCATCCCTAATACCTGCTGCAATGGCGTGTTCGCAAGGTATCCCTAGGAGTTGGAATGCTCTACAGGTGCAAGACTGCTCCCACAAGTGAACAGCATATGCAATATCCATTGCGTCGCGAACTTCATATATGCCGTCCCCTATCTTCATTATGAAATAACCCGCAGATTTCTTGAAGTTTTCCATCATCATTTCCTTCACCTTGGGGTTCATGATGTCTGTGTCCTTGTTAGCCGCTTCACGTCTTAGTGCAAACCATGAAACAAGCGTTGTCCGAATTGTTTCCAGAATGGAGATTACCGGAAAATCACGAGCCATAGTTAGCACATAGTTTAGCGATTCTGAGATATTACTTGTCATGATGTTGTATCGATCACCAACGAAATGTGACCGTGTCCAATGCTCGAAATCGATCCTCGCTAGATACGCTGCGCATTCTGGGTCGGTATTCCTTATCTCCTCGAAAATCCTGTCGAATTCACTCAAACGGTATGCACGATCTGCATGGGATGTCAACTCACTCAGCATTTTAGATTTAAAGTTGGTGACCACATTTCGTTGCAAATGGACAATACATGCACCATGTGAAGACATCAGGTAAACCTAACAACAAAAACGTTTACCAATTAACTGATAATTATGATATCTGGTTAATAGTAAACAATGGGCCGTTATACTAATACTATTGTAATGTCAATTCAGTTAACGTTACTTTGGTACGCAATATATCAGATAACTTACGCAGATAAATTAGACACCGTTAATTTATGGTTTAAAATAATATTGCAAAACTAAGATGGCCTATAGCTTTACGCAGATAACATAGATAACCATAACTTTGTTAGGAGATAACATAGTTGTATTCAACATTGATAACTTGATTTTTACGGCTATTAGGAGACAAACCTTACGAATTGCTGTATAGATCGATGAATGGCGATCTGAGACAAACACCAAATCTGGCTCTTCGGGAACAATTTCTGTCAGCTTCCACAGAAACCACTCCCATGCATCGTCATTCTCGCTATCAACAACCGCGAACCCTAGAGGGAACACTTGAAAGTTACCGTCCTGTGCGCTGGCAGCTACAAGGCATCCGCCATATCTGTTTCGAAAATGGGTGCCGTCAATCACGATGACTTTGCGCATGTACCTATACCCTCTTGCGCATGCATTCACAGAGAAGAACAAGTATTTAAAACTCTCAACACCAGACGGATCTGTCTCTGTTTTAAGACCGACGACCAAGTTGGGATTTGCTTCCAAAAATATCTTGAAGTACGCTGGGACCAATGCGTAACTTCCCATTGCAGACCCCAAAGCACGATCCATAGCTATTTCTAGTGCTCTCCAAGCTTTCCAGTAGCTAATGTGGAGGCTAAATTCTTGTCGGCAAAGCCGACGCAGCTCAAACGCACGTGGTCCTTTACCTTCAACACCATACTTCGCTCGCATTAAATCACCGATAACAGTATATGTCGCCTGGCGGTGATAGTTCCATCTAACATCAACGCTGCAAGTATGTTCCAGGTGAACGCTATGCACCTTATATCTAACACTACCCTCCATACGGGCTGCATATACGCGCCAAGGACATGTTTCACCTACGCAGATTACAACGACTACGTTTGGACACGACTTGGCGTACTTAAAGTTGAACTTGTTATTGATGGCGTGGATGTGAAGCTTCAGTTTGCAGTCTTCCTTTTTTTGAAGACCCGGCCAAGAAATATATCATCGCCTTCATAATCAATGTCGTGCAAAGCTCGTACTAAAGCATCTGCGATAACCAAAATATTTGTAATTATCAGATAACTTTTACAATTTATCAGATAACATAATTAACAGGTGTTTAGGAAATATCGTAGTTATCTGATAACCTAATTAACCATGACATACCTTCCCCAATGGGGTCGTCGAAATACGGGGGTGCATCACGCTCATGCATAACCGGTGTTACCCGAACCTCCGCCAATGGTGGCTGAAGATTGTCCAACCGAATCGGTTGTTTTGCGGGGATTACAATGTTAGCAAAAATAGGAGGATTTTTGTCTAGTATGCCTTTTCCCTTGTCGCGACCCCCCACCACCCTAACACCAACCCTGTTCCCACCAATACGCAAATCATCGTTTCCTTGAAGAACAGGAATCCCTTCCAAGATTTGAGGGCGCATATCGTCACCTGCAGAACCCTTTTATTTAAAAACGGGCAACAATGATGACACATATCCACAGTTTTTGAGGTTTAATATACAATTTGTAGTACCAGTTAGGGAGATAGCCGTGTTATGCTGATACTCACAATCCGCCATAATTTCATCAGACGAACTCCTGTTAGTAGATAATGTTCCATTAGATGAGGAGGAAGACCCTGCCGGTACTGTTGGTTGCGTTGGAGTAACAAAAGCACCTGCTAGAGTTAACTTCAAATTATTTTCTACTCTTTCTGTTCCAACACTTGGCATTACATCACCGGGTACCCGGGGCTCACGTGCATCTGTTGACTTCACATGAAGACCTCCATGAAAATATTGCCAAAGGTGGTGGACATCCACCCCCCATTGTCCTTCCCGAGTGCGCTTTGTGCTGCCTAAAATATTTTAATTTTCATTAACAAACTATTCTTATTAGTAATCTGTTTCATCACAGACGTAGCACTGAAGTACCTAAAACCGTGCGGGGAGAAGGTATAACACTATCGGTTGTTTCGCTATCTGAGATAACAATTCGTTCGTTTAACATGTCTCCCCTGCAGTAATCTTGACAGTTTTAGGTTTTGCAGGTAACAATAAAGAGCAGGAAATATTATTCAGCACGCGTTTTGAGAATATACCACACCACTGTGAAGGGGGCATGCCAATCAATCCATGTGCGCTGACATCTCTTGCTACTTCTTTCTCACCTGATAAAATGTTTTGTTGCCGGGATTAGCAAAGTTAACTGTCAACTCACGTTTCTGTAAGTTAAAACCTTTTGTATCTCCACCCAAAATGATTCACGCACTAAGGATACATGATTCCTTTACCTTTCCTCGGCGAGTTGTTTGCATCCAGTACGTTTTTCCCACCATCATCTCCTCTTACTAATAGATCGATATAACCTTATCTTGTAACAAATCAGTATTCCCTTACAAATCAGTAATTCTCATGGTTCACATCATATCTGTATAACCTTGTCCTGTAACTTGGGAAAAAGTTAACGGTTAACTTTTTGTAGCCCTACTCACCACAAGGTAGCTTATATGTTTCATTCCTTGCCCAGTCCCCAACCGCCCTTGAGCTTACTTGATTCGGTGTTTTATTAGATTTAGTTACCGTGTCTATCATATTTTCAGCAAATAAAGTTAACCCATAAAAACAATGTTAATAAAGTTAACACTCTAATAATCTTTCACCTTATTAATTTTCTTATAACACCCTTCTCATCCATCAACTTACCACCCCTGAGTTCAACTCTTTTTAGAAACGGTGCCGCGGCTGCTGCCAACATGCTGCCTGTTCATCATTTTTCAAGCTTAGTTATTTTGTACTACTATTATTCACTCAGGAAAAAGATCAAATAAAGGTTCGCACACCTATAACAGAATTTTGATGCCCATATCCACTCTCTCCTACTGCAGGCTGATTTGCATTTGAGCTACCACCACATTCAGGTCTCTGTTGACCTAGGGTTACATTAGTGGAGTATGAGTTCACGTTTCTCTCTGTTCCCCGGGGGATAACTCGTACCCGCAGCACTACATCTTCTAAATCGGCCCTTATCGCCATAAACAAGGAGGCGTCTTCGTCATTCATGATATATATTGGATGATTTCTTCTTCCCTCAGCACCCAACATCCACTCCGGCCATTGATAAGTAATTTCAACATCATATCCGGCCAACAGACGGAGTTCATGTTTGACAGCTGCTTCGACGGTTGCAAAAGTGTCCTTCTCTTTTAAACTGATAACATAGTTATCAGTTACATTATCAGGTTCATGATTCCACATACCGTCTCCACCTTTTGTCCATTTTCTACGAATCACGCGTACGTTCATCGCCATCCCCTACAAGGTCACGATATAAACATGTCTTAATCACAATAAAATACAACACCCAGATCTTCATATAATTTTGAGCTATTAAAGACAGAAAAGGTTACAGATAACTACCTCTTAGGGCTCCACACATATCTCCAATAGAAATTCAGAAACGAAGCAGTTATTAACTCTCTCTGATTTTATCTTTATCCTGTTTTTACTAGCTGTAAATGGGAATGAAGGCAACCTTTGTTATCGCCATTATTATAGGGGAGATAAGTCTGTTATTTTTTTTTAAGTTGCTCGAGATATTTTTTTAGCAGATAATCTTTATGAGATATGTTTTTTATTGGACGGTGCAGATTAATCCTCCAGGCGGCGCAGTATCTCATCAAAGATACTCATTGTATTATAAAATTTCCTGTCTCCTCATAAGCTAGAAGCATTTAATGCGACTGCGCAGGTATTCTCTTCCCTCTATAGGGTCATTTTTGCCTACAACGATTTTTGCAATAAGTATATTTTTTATTATTAAACTAAGCTTCTCATACACTTAATTTTCTCATTATCCAAGGGTATTAGACCGCTTAACTCTAGGTTTAACTCCAATGGATCCTCATCCTCTTCTAATTGATGCTCCTTCACTGTTTCATTCTTTCTCCGATTAGATCCAGATTAAAATTTGCGGTAAGCTTAAATCTCCGATTAAATCAGCTCTGATGGTCTTTGACTCAAGACATGTCTCCAACGTCATGCATCACTCTTAAAAGAAGGACTCAAGGAGAATCTCTTAGCCGAGAGTGGATGATCCAAAAGTCGAAGAAAGAAGTTCGACACTCACCACTAGATCTGTTTGCCACCGCCTCAAAACCTATAGATGACCAAACGCATAGGAGAAAAAATTAACTAATCTAAACTCAACCCAGAATTTTATTATCATATCAAAGTTGGAAACTAACAATCCTAATTCCAGAAGTAAGAGAGAAAAAAATTTCTCTCTCTGAAAAATATGAAAAAGAAAAAAAAGAGAAGAGCAAAAAACTCTTCTAAGAATCGTCTCTTCAATCATATTGTGATTATCTTCTTTTCAGCAAAATATTTTAAAAAATATTAGATTGGCAGTACTTTTGTCGAAATGTAGCTCGAAACACCAAAGAAGAATGATTTCGCCACAATGCCAAATTCTAAATGGGTGGCAAACCAGTTGTTCAAATAGACAATTAATGATAAGCCTTTCATGTGCGTTGATAGCTCAACCAGTAAACCAGTTGGTCAACCAAAGGATAGTGTTTTCGTATCGACTCCAATGTATTTGGTTATTATTGGTTCTAAACAAACTAAATCTGTACCAAAATCTCTCTCTCTCTTAATAACATTGGACCGGTCCCCCGGTATAATAAGTATATAGATGAAAATTGTTGTTCAATTAATTTTCGGGAAAAATACCAAAAAATACCTTATTTATTTAATTTTTGGAAGAATTACCCACAAACTTTTAGCGTTGCCAGAAACTCACACAAACTATTTTTTCGATGCATAAAAATACATAAGTTTTTTTAAAGTTTCATTTTCCCCCCTCTGATTTCACGGCCGTTAACAGACATAACGAAATCAATAAACAGCGTTAATTTTTTGTAGGAAAAAATGCTAAAATAATACATCAACTATTTAATTTTGCCAGAAACCCACACAAACTTTTTGCATTGCCAGAAATCTACACAGACTATTTTTTTAATCTATAAAAATACACAAACTTTTTATAATTCCATTTTCCCTCCTCAAGTTTCACGGTCGTTATGTTAGTTTTTTGTAAAACGTGCTAACTACTCTAGGAGTGATATCATTATTACCCTTAGAAAATCTTCAAATCGATTTGGGGAAGAAAAATCTACACCCTAATTTTTCTCTCTCTTTTAGAAATTGAGTAAAATCGGTTGAAAAATATGGTTGGTAGTATAAATCGAGTCGGAAACATTGTGTGTTGTGATATATAAGACTAAGGACTTGACTGGTTTAACCGCAGCGGTTGCGGTTGCGAGTGCGAGATTTTGCAGAAGCGTACGATTATGGTTTTGAGCGTTATTCAGCGGTTTGCACGATTGGTTAAACTTTTTAAAGCGAGTCTGTTTGTGGGACATTTTTGACTGGCAAACCAACGATTATTTTAACGGTTAAACATAAAATTACTAAAATAAACATCATATATAATTAGAAAAAAACAAAAAAAAAACTGTATTATTATGATAAATATCAAAATCACTATTTCAAAATAATTAATAAAAATTATAAATAAATACTAAATAATTATTTTAAAAACTAATAAATTTTATTATAATATATTTTATTTCAGTTATTAGGAACATCACCCAAAATTGTGTATAATAATATAATAGACTGGAAAAAATTTGTTTCAATACGTGGATCTTCTGGATTATCTTATGCATGATGTAAAATTTCTTCAATTGATCTAATCGACTTTTTGCACGACCCCAACTCAAATCAACTCCAAATTGCTCATTAGTATTCAAAATACGTTCTTTCTGGAGTGTATTCAAAAATCTAGAATATTTATCTTGAGTTTATTTTTCCACAATGATTCGTTGAAGTAACGTATATGTCATCTCGTTTGATCATGTAACTTTCTGAAGACCAAAAAAAAAAAGAATTATAACAAACTAATTTTGTAATTAATAAGATACATATTTATAATTTCTTACTTTAAAAGTGAAAACAAAAAAATTAATATAAATGAATTAAACCAAAGTAGTATGGCACTTACTTGTATCTTAATTTTCTTCAACTGATATGAAAATCATGATTAGAGACTAGAACTTGATAGAAAAAAGTGAGAGGTTTAAAGTTTATATATATATATATATATATATAGGAGAAGATTAGTAGGGTTAGGGTTTTATAATTGTTTTTAACGTGATCTTCTATTTTTTTTTCTAGCGTGATTTATTTTTTTATAATTTTTTTTATCCAACCGCTACCACCCACAACCGCAAACGCTGGCGGAAAGCAGCTTTTGGATTTCAGCGGTATAAAACGATACAGAGCGGTTTGCAGTGATTTCTATGATTGTGATAAAATGCTACTAACCGCTACCAACCGTAAACGCTGTGTTTGTGAGTGATAGCGGGTGAACCAATCAACACCTAATAAGAGCAATTCGAGGAGATGATGTATATGTTCTAACAATGATTTATTGCTTTATTAACCACATTTTCAACCGATTTCACTCAATTTCTGAAAAGTAAGAGAAAAAAATTAGAGTTTAGGTTTTTCTTTTTAAAGGTAATAATGGTATTAATTTGACAATAATTAACACGTGTTATAAAAAATTAACGCAGTTTTTCGATTCTGTTATGTCTATAATGATCGTGAAACTTGAAGAGGGAAAATGGAATTATAAAAAGTTTGTGTATTTTATAGATTAAAAAATAGTTTGTGTGGATTTCTGACAATGCAAAAAGTTTGTGTGGGTTTCTGGTAAAATTAAATAGTTGATGTATTTTTTTAGCATTTTTTCCTACAAAAAATTAACGCTGTTTATTGATTTCGTTATATCTGTTAACGGCTGTGAAATTAGAAAGAGAAAAATAAAATTTTAAAAAATTTATATATTTTTATGCATTGAAAAAATAATTTATATGAGTTTAAAAGTTTGTGTGTGTGTGATTCTTCCAAAAGTAAATAAAGGAGATACTTTTTGGCATTTTTTCCATTAATTTTCTATCTAATTGATCCCTTCCCGAAAGTTTGTGGAAACACCAAAACATAATGCATTGCTATCCTTGGAAGAGTATAAGGGTGAGTCCCTGCGTCTCACATGTTCTCTCCTTGCCGCATTTCATCAAACACCTTTCATGCGCAAAATCGCACACATTTCTACAAAGGAGATTTCACTCCAACACACACACTGATGTCGCCGTAAGTACTACAGCTTCATGTTTCAAAAGCCTCAATTCGAACCAACAAAACCAAATCCATCTCTATGTTGATACCCTTCTTCAATGGAATCAGGTCTCTTTCTCTCTCTCTCTCTCTCTCTCTCTCTCTCTCTCTCTCTCTCTCTCTCTCTCCCTCAGACAAAGGAACCATTTTGCACAATTAACTTTGTTGGCTTTTCTGTTTTCTTTTCTTTTCGAATGTTCTCTTACCTAAAAGTGATGGGTTTGTCTCTGTTCAATTGGGAGTAAAAGCTTTGTTTGTGGGTGTGCTTAATGTGAGTTTGAATTTGGCCTTGTGAAATGTGCAGAAAATGAACCTTACAGCAACTAAAGAAGCTGATGAAGTAATGGAGAGGCATATCGAAGATTCTCTTGCGATATTGCCTCCTATAAAGCAATGTTACAGCTTGCGTTCCAATGATTTGTTTGATCACATCAGTTTGATTGATGTTGGAAGTGGTGCAGGCCTTCCTGGGTTGGTTCTAGCCATTGCTTGTCCAGGTGCTCTTAAGCTTCAAATATGATTGATACAGTTTTGTTTGTACATAAAGCAGCTTTTTATTAAGAAAAGCCAACTTCTTTGTATTCAGATTGGAGAGTTACTCTACTGGAGTCTATAAATAAGCGTTGTGTTTTTTTGGAGCATGTCGTCAATGTCACCGGGCTTACAAATGTTAAAATCGTAAGGGCAGAGCAGAGGTATAGTTTTAGGCCTCTTTTATTTTGTGTGATGTGTTTCTGCAATAAGCATTGGTAGGTTCACTTGTTTAGTTGGCTTCTCTGGGTACTAGTTAATCGAT